GTAGGAACAACATTGATGAAGAACTTAATTCCATTTGAGCAATAGAAAATCTGGTTTTAGCATGGTTACACAGGACTGGTCGTTACAGACTGCTGTCACGAACAGAAATCATGATTAATACCCTGAAGATTCAATACTTGCGCACATGATGCCAAATTCGGATATGTCGTAGTAGACATCCAAATGAACAACTTTCATGAAGAACAAATGTTCATTTGAGGACTGGAAGCTGGTCCGAATCGGGCCATAATTAGGCCCGAATTGCCACTGTTATCAGCTTTCGCTGTTGCTGGTATGCTTCTGATCTTTGATGTCGTGAGGATTCCACATTTATCCAAATGATCCCAAATTTGGATATGTTACAGTAGACGTTCTAATGCAAAACTTTCATGAAGAAAGACAATTCACTAGAGCATTGGAATTAGGCCCGAATTGGGCCCGAATTAGGCCCGAATTGCTGCTATGAGCTTTTTGCTGGCGCTGTGCATCTGGTGTTTTCAGCTCTTAGGACTCCACATTTTTCCAAATGATCCCAAATTTGGATATGTTGCAGTAGACGTAGAGATGAACAACTTTCGAGAAGGATGAAACTTGATTTGAGCGCTGAATTTGAATTTTGGGCCCACTCCATCTGACTGCAGCAATGCATGTCTAGCCATATATTTTGGTCATTTTGATGTCCACAGAAAATTATCTACCATTTTTAGGCAAAAATCCAATTTTTGGTACAAACAGTTTATTTTCCTGCTTCTAAATTTTGCACATTCACAGGTATGCTCAAACACTGCAGCGGATTTTGATTTTAAACTTGCAAGGTAAGTTTTTGTATTTTGAAACTTCGGAATTTGCTAGGGACCAAATATGTTGAGCTGGCTAACTGTGAGTTTCTGCAGCCTTGCCCAAGGTTTCGAGTCTTTGTCCGACTTCGCCGAATGTTGTAAAATTGGCTCACATTTAGTATGCATGCGAAGGAGTGAGCGACCGGTCGCAAGGTTTGGGCGACCGGTCGTTTAGAAGCAGAGTCGAAGTCTGAAAAATTCGCAGGAAGCGACCGGTCGCAAGGTATCAGCGACCGGTCGCTATGTATCCAAATGGTCGTAGCGACCGGTCGCAAGGTATCAGCGACCGGTCGCCCCTGTGCTGTGCTGATGTTTTCTTACGTGTTTTCAACTGTGTTTTCGGTGGC